GAGGGGCCCAGATTCAATTGCCCCCCTGGCCAGTCCACCCCCGTTCAAAGATGATTTGAGGATCTACAGCCAAGTTGTACACAAAGCTACAGTATTGTTAATGGTTGGGATACTTGAATGCATTTTTAAGGTTTAACTCCTGAGTTTAGTGTCACTTTAAGGCTGGGTTCACACCTAGGGGTATCGAATATGCTCGTTTGTCGTGCGTTTTTACTGCGATTCGCGAGGGCTACCTGGATGTATCCCAATGGATATGCGTGGCAAATACACCCCAAAGAAGCTCCTGTACTTCTTTGGGCGTAGGGCGTTTTGCAGTGCGTTCCTACGCGCTGTAAAACGCCCAGGTTGGAACCATGCCCATAGGCAATCATTGTTTTTCACATGTTGAGCGTTTTACAGAGCGTAGGAACGCGCTGTAAAACGCCCAGGTGTGAACCAGGCCTAAGAGTGGGTCTTGTCCAACTTTTATCGGACTTTAAAATCTAATGCTAGAGTATAACTCCAGAGAACGGGTCTTGAATATGTTGTGCATAGCTTGGCAGCAGTGGTTAGTTTAGTTAATATTTGGAAAAGGGAAACTATTTTTTTTTGCAATGCTTAGCTAATCTCAAAAAGATATCTTAGGTAATTTTGTGCTCTCAATTTTCAAGAAGCAAAATGGTGAAAAGGAACTTAAATTAAACCTCAAATGCTCAAGCAATTTAACCTCAAATGATTAGGTAAGTGACATAACAGAAGTTGGTAAAGAGGAAGAGTGCTAGAAAGCATTACAGAGCTTAAGTTAAATTCTAGGCCACAAGAAAATAAATATACCCCGCCCAATCTGATAAGGTATTTATTGCTTGATGTTTTTTATACAAGGAAGGCAAGACAGGGACAGCCTATTTTAACCTACAGTCCTGAGACAGCCAGCCAGCCATCAGTCTGGTCCACTTTCATTTAATGCTCAAATATAGGCAGGCACTCCTACGTCATTATGTACAATGCAGGAATAACAGTACTGTCAGCACGCTCGTCCTGCATTGTGCATAATGATGCTGGGGACAGACCATTACAACAGGAACCAGCAGCGACGAAGACTGTGGGAGCCTAAAAAACAAAGCAATCCATTCTTTATCAGCTAAGAAGGAGTAGAGCATATTTCATAATTGTATTACAGCTTGGCATTAGACTTAATATTGACATACAAGGTTGCAGGTTATGTGTCTGTCCGTGTTAAATTATTATTCACTTTCCATATTAAAACTTTTAAGATTACAGTAGTTGGATTCCAATAGCCTGCCATAATGGAGATAAAAATTATATTGTATTGCTGTCATAAGATCTCAGCACAGGCACTGTAAATATTCAGCTTGGTACAGAGAAGTTACTGCTAGGTTAAAGCTTAATTATTTGTTTATTTAATTGTCCTTTCCGCCCGCCCCCCCCTTCCCATCTGATGAACATATTGCTTATTTTTAAAGGATGATCTAAAGCTGACCATAGGCTATACAATCTGATTGTACAATCTCGTATAGATCTACCATCAAGTATGTAGTGCTAATGGAACGGAATGGTTTGTCCTCGTATTACATAGTTTTGGTAAGGCTTGTTCACACCATCTCCTGACGGTGTGTTTTTTTTTATCTGCATCAAAAATGCACACACAGTAATTTCAATGGTTTTAAATGAGGCTAGTTCAGTTCCAGAGCTTTTATAAAAAGTACAGCAGCGTGCTTTTTCCCCCCACACCAGAATGCGCAAACAAACACATGTAAACGCACCGGAAACCACTTAAAGCCAAGCAAAGCCAATTAAAAAACAAAAAAAGTTACTTAGCAGACTGGAATGTGAAGGGTTTTCTTTTGAAGATCCTTTAACCAGAAACACGCATGTTTAATCAATATCCGATTTCATTATATCCAGAAGTGGCTTATTCCAGCAGACTGAGGGGACAAGGTAATTAGTACTGGGGTTCCCAGACCACATTACTGTCACACAAGGGCATGGGTGAAAAAGAAAGGTTAGACGACAGGGGCATAGGTACTAGCATTTGTATTCTCATTTGCTTTTAGTGCCAAAAAGCAGTGCACCAAAGAAACTTGGACCAAGTTTATACCTGCAAAAGGTTGGAATACATCCAGGCTAGAAGACATTGCTACTTGGAACCATAGTTTAAAACAATTGGATGGAATTACAGGAATCTTCAATTACAGGTAGCCTGCCTTTGCTGAAAATCTATTAAAATGCTAGTTTTCCACACTTTATTCTTGTTCAGTGACTCAGAGTATTGAAGCCATAGAAAACAGGCAATTCGCATTTCTGGCCACTTCACTGTTAAACGTTCCACCTCAAGCAAACATGGGCTCTGCCCATGCAAGGGAAAGCAACTGGTTTGCTTTATTCCTCCCACGCATACACCCAACAGCACATACATTTCCTTTATTCCTTTGCCATTCGGTTCAGCTGCTGGGACTGAAACACAACATTTCCGTGTATGGAGGAACCTTCATGTCCCTTCCTCACCTGTGGTCACACTTGTACTTGTTAATAAGCCAACATTGTCATATGGCGGCAGGGAGAGAGACACCAGTCCCATATAGCTCCAACTAAACTGACTTGGACATTACATCAGGCTTATTTTGCAGCAGAATGAAAGGGTAGGGCGCAAACAAGAGGTATGTGCTGCTGGGCAGGAGGGCATTTGTCACCTTGGGTAGTACTAATATAGGTGGAGCTGGAGGCCCTGAGTGCAGTGGCGGAACTACCGCCGGTGCGGGCGGACTAGGGCCTCCAGCCTCAGGGGGGCCCAGCACAGCCCTCGTCTGTGCAGATGGTATCCAGCGGCCGGCAGGCACCCCGTCTCTGCGCCGGGAGTGTCGGATCATACGTTCATCTGATACTTGCGGCGCAAAGATGGGGGGACCGTCGGCCGCAGCGCAGCTTGATACTGATAATTAGTTGTCCGTTACGATTAATTGGGGGAGGGGGCTAGGTGCACGGCTGCTTCCGGGTTAGGGTACCCAGATATTATGAGGCCCGCCGACCCCTGCGAGAAGTAAGCCGCGAGGCGCGTGCCAAGGACAGCAGTGAAAAATTGAAGACAGGGCAGGCAGAGGACACACTACACAGTAAGCAGGAAACAGACATCTGTTTTTTTCTGAATCCGCCACCAGGAAACAGCAGAAGACCAGCCAGAAGAGAGGTAAGTGTAAATAATTAATTAAAACAATTATTATTTGTAGCTGGTTTTTGTAGTGTTTGTTTTTGTATAGAGGGTCCCATTCTGCAGCAATGCAGAATGGGACCCTCTATAGAGGACTACAAATCTCAGCAGTACTTTATACAGAAATGCTATAGTTGTATAAAGTATTGCTGGGATGTGTAGTTCTCTATATCCTTTGCCATTCTCCATTGCTGTAATATTAGTAATGTACAGATATATCGGCCGTTGAAACAGCGGCAGAAAATGGCACTTTTGGTTAAATGCCATTTTTTGGCCGATACAGCGGCGCATCCCTGCTTTCTTTCCTCCCCGCTGGGCGCTGCTCTGTATCCCAGAGAGGAGGAGAGAAAGTGTCAGACGGCCCAGCGCTGCGGGAGGAGAGCACTGTGAGCAGCCAGCGTCTCTCATCCCACACCGCTCAGCCTATCACAGTCCGGTGTTCCATCACAGATTGCGACTGCGTTAGAATGTGTGACCGCTGACGTCATCACACTTTCTAATGTAATCATGCCCATTTTTTATCGGTGGAATGTGTTACCAGCCACGTGGTCACACATTCTAACGTAGCCACACCCATTTGTTTCCAGAGTAAAAATGTGTGACCGGCAAAAGTTGTAGAATTCAAAGCTTTCTCTGCTGTTCCTGGGCAGATCGGCATCGCAGATGGTATGTGCAGGAGAACCAATCTGCCCTGGAACAGCTGATTTCTCTGTAATAAATATGCTCAAATATTTTTTTTGATCTATTTTTTTCTTGTGGTTGCTTTAGGGGGTGTGGATTGGGGAGTTTTTTTTTTTTTTTGGTTGGGGGGGGGCAAAAAAAATCTTGCACCAGGGCCCTTTGTTCCTTAGGTCCGCCACTGCCTGAGTAGCAATACTTCAGCATTTAGACACTGATCAGTGGACCCACCTCTTGTTCATTATATAGCTAGGTCTGTAAAATTGTAGGAGGAAATTAACAGTGATGCATTTCTCGAAAGACAGCTGCCCCTTAATGCTAAACTCTGTGCACAAAAACTTTCATATAAATAAATTGATCAATAGCCAAAAATGATATAAATCCACCTTGTATGCATCAAATCCCTTTGCATATCCATTTAATACCATATAAATGTAGCAGTGACACCATTACTGTACTGTACATAGCCTGATCAAAGAGCAGAGCTGTTGGAGGGATCCAGCAGGCCCACCCACTATAGGCTGACTGCAGAAAACTACAAGAGTGGTGGAGACAAGACCAGTCACCCTGTACAAGGGGAAAGAGCAACAGTGACTGGTCTGTATTATTGGAAGCACCAAAACAGAAGAATAGTTTCACAATGGATTACTGCACATACAGTATCTGGCAGAAATACATAAAGTATGCCAAGAGTCAAGTAATAGTACACATGCCCCTTGTATTTAGATATTATTTGCTTATTCCAGATTTCAGCTTATTTATTTGTTAACGTTTTTACGGACAGTTATATAATCCTCTGACCAAGCTTTCCACTGTCTGGAATACTTACCATTTTAAAGCTGACTGATCGCAATGGGAGCGCAGACAGGTTAATCAGAAAGGTAAATATTTAAATAAATATGTATGTTAGTATGTTCATATACTGTGCATATCTCAAGTATTTGTCTTTTTAGAGCTATAAAACATTGGATACAATTAAAGTCAAGCACTTACCTCGATGCAAAGATACCATAAAGTATATTATAAATAAAGTACCCTTAGCTTCTCCGAACAGTCTTACATTTTACAGTGCGATGTGCACTCTGCAAAATGCATTAATATGACTGCAAACGTTAAGTGTAGTGAAAATAAACTTTATTATAATAAAATGTCTTTGCATTTGTAAACAATGAACATTGCAACACCAATGGATGTCACTTAATGCTTCTAAACATAGCATGGGTAAAAACCCAAACCTTCGAAACAATTTTTGTTTCAAACATGCAAAAATAAATAACATGGACACTGAAAGCATCAAAATGCTGGCCGTGTGGTACAAAATGCTGGTCACAATTCCACAGAATAATGGCTCTGATGCTGGGAGAGGATGTCAGCGACAGGGACAATGGAAATAGGATGCTCTTTGAGTCGCTATATATACACACACATACACATGACTCTGGCTTATAACCAATTCCTCCCATATCTGCTCACAGCAGATAGAACATTTGTAAACAATTAAAATATCAAACCAGATAAAATAAGGCAAATGAACATTCATTTTTTTTTCCAACATGCACACAACATAACAAAGCTATATTCCTTAGGAGAAGCGCTATCCAGTCTTGCCGAGGTTGCTAGTTTGGCGTTGAGTAGGTGTTGCAGAAATAGGACTTCCTGCACAGCACTTCCCGCAACATGGCATACAAAGCCAGGGAGAAAACATAGTGCAAACATTCCACGTTGTCCTAAAAGGCATGGTCACTTAAGTCCCCAAGTGACAAACTGCGGGAACCAAATAAGAACACAGCTGAGAAGAGCTCAAAAAATCCAGGCTTCTGGCTCCCCATTGTAGCTCTTCGTTTATCAGTGCTTAAGGTCTACTTCCTGTCCTTACTATGTTTTCAGACACCAGTCAGGTACATTCATAATGATCTCTTGCTGTCACAGACAACAAGAAACTGCTCACAGACCATATAACAGTAAATAATATATACAAGTGGCAAAGCCGACCAATTCCAGATGGGCCAGCAGATGGATGGTAACAGACAACAGCTCATAGCGCCTTCCACATCAAGAAGTGTATTATTGCTGTATGACAGCTTGGACAGGCCCGGCCTTTTTATTTATTTATTTTTTTACAAGTGCTTTCCAGAGGAACCTAACTTTTTAAAGAGCTTTCTCCCTTTAAAGAAGAAACTTTTTTTTTTCTTGGTAGAAGAGATCTCTTGACATATATCAGATTTTTCAGAAGGCTCCTTAGGCTCCTTAGGTTCATTAGGTTGGTCACAAGTTAGTGAATCATTCGGAGGGGAGTATGGATAGTCAACAGCAACATCACAGCTAAACTACAGAAAAGCAAAGAAACAATTAGTTTAAAAGCAAGAGTACCAATTATAACAAATTATAGTACTAAAGATACTAAATTACAGTTCTAAAGATTTCACTAATAAAATGCAGTTTTAACTAATACTTTGCATTAAAAGGGTCTTGGTCACTTGCTACGTTTCCACAATTAAACCCTTAGGACCAAACCGAAAAAACGTGAAGACCATTTTGGATTCAGTTATTATATATCTAGAAATGAAACTATTTTGTCAGTTGTCAGAAACCTATGCATCTTTATTAGCACTGTGGGGCAAAGCCAGGCATTTCCGAAACAGAATATCACTGCGCTAGAAGTATTTGATATTTGACCAGCTGCAACAATGTAAGGTTCAACATGAACATTCACTAAAGCCAGGCATTTGCCTCTATTTTCTGTTTAGGGTAATGCGTCTGTAAAATAGAGTAATTTCACTTTACTTATACATTGAATACATGTTCATACATGCCAATCTTCCTCTTTATTAAATGATGATGATTACATTAAGTGGCAACAGTGGAGTACTAGGGAGAGGTACATAAGAAAAGGGAAATACAGGTGAAACTCGATTAGAATATCGTGCAAAGTTCATTTATTTCACTAATGCAACCTAAAAGGTGAAACTAATATATGAGATAGACTCATTACATGCAAAGCAAGATAATTCAAGCCGTGATTTGTCATAATTGTGATGATTATGGCCTACAGCTCATGAAAACCCCAAGAACCGCAAATCCACAACCTCAAAAAAGTAGATTATTACATGCAATCAATAAAACAAGGATTGTACATAGAACAATATCGGACCTCTGAAAAGTACAAGCATGCATATGTACTCAGTACTTGGTTTGGGCCCCTTTTGCAGCACTTACTGCAATTACTTTTGCACGATATTCTAATTATTCGAGTTTCACCTGTACACAAGCTTTTTCAAATTAAATAAAAGACTTCTGTGTAAATGCCATTTTTACATGGGGGACCTGTAAGTGGATGCTCAGTGGCTTTTGCTGAATCAGAATACCTACATGAGGTTAAAAGGACCTGGGCAGCAGATGCAGCATAAGGTCATTGTAAGGCTCTAAAGTGGCTGGGCATTTACTATCAGGTTTATTAGGTAAAATGGTATCTCCCAAGTCTCTCTACTTTTGAATATATTAGGAAATTTAGGAGATTCAACTTGGTATACATAGTACATCTCTATATTTAGAAGTAGCTACTGGATTATTACAAATCACTGACATAAGGAAGACAAAAGGGTTTTCATAATAGAGCTATTTCATCTACAACACATGAAGGGAAAGGAGTGCAAACATCTATACTTCTTCTAGTGCTGGGAAAGGAGATCTCACTTACATGTCTGTCTGTCCCTTTCTCTGTCTAAATCTATCACTTGGTTCTTCTTCGCAACTTCTGAGGATCCCACAAATGAAACATACAGGCACAGACAAAAAGATGATACAAAAATTATACTAAAAGCAGCATAATTACACAGATATCCACTGCTGCACCATTACTGATAGGACTGGTCACTAAATATACTTAAATAGAACAACAGAGGCTTACTAGGAGGAATAGCAAATAAAAGCAAATATAAATCATTTAAAGGCGAATTATGGGGAGAGTGAAATACACTCAACCCCATAGTTAGAGACAACGTGCAACATTACAGCTGTGCGCTGTCAGCATATGGCGGGCAACAGCCTGCTATATGCTGAGGTTTGAGTCACAGGAGGACATAAGTTAATGTCCTCCTGTGATCCAAGAGACCTATAGCCAAAACAAGGTTTGGACATAAGTTAATGTCCTACTGTGATCCAAGAGACCTATAGCCAAAACAAGGTTTGGACATAAGTTAATGTCCTACTGTGATCCAAGAGACCTATAGCCAAAACAAGGTTTGGACATAGTTCTCTTTTAATAAGCCCCCCTCTGGTTAACAATATTTCAATTATATTAAATTAAGAGATATTTAAGTTGGACCTGAACTGAAAAGGTGAATACTTGCTATGTTATAGGCAACATCTAGAAATGTTTGTTGTGCCCAAGTAGAACCCTGAAAAATCTACCTTCTTTCTTGTTGTCAGCCTACAAAATAGCAGTGCACTACCTGGTATGCGAGTATGCCTGGGCACTCCTGTGCTTACATCCTCATAGCTGTATATTTAGTTTGAGATTTAAGGCACTGCTGCCTCTGACTGCTAATTTTAGGAGACATAGTGAGATTTGGTGATAACTACAGCACTGCTCAGCTGGAGGCTCTGACATTAGGACGCCTCTATCAAGATGGCTGCCAGCACACAGAGACAGTGCAAACAAGGCTTTGTAGGTCAACAATGAAGAAGGATCAGCTGCAGGAAGACAACAGGCAATGCTGGTGACTAGGCCTTTGCCCTCTGCTCGCTTTTTTTTGGGCACAGCTTCCAGTCACTAAAATGAGATTGCATTAATTTGTGGTAAATAGAAAGAGTATGTTACAGAATGTTTCCATGGCAAATCGTAATCCTTAAACAGAGAGGCTGTTATTGTATGTGTGAGGATACTTAGTGCTAAAAGCCTTTATAAGTCAAAAAGCAATAGCACTAGACAAAACGTGACACACACAAGCACATTTTAAAATAGTATCTAAATCAAAATTAATTGGCTCCCAAACTATAATATTCGTAGATGACCGTTTGGTAGATTTTACACCAAACTAGCCCAGGTCACTGTAACAGGCCACCTAAATGCCAGAAAAAAACAGTTACTGAACTTTACTGATGTTGTATATCATTTGTATAATCTCAGTGATCTGGGCAAACTAAATGTTAAGAAAACCTTTATTTTTCAGCCAGAAAAATGACCGGGTCTTTCAATTGCAAGCAGCAGTTTGCAAATAAATTAGTACTGTTTTGCTTTATGTATGATAATATAGATACTAGAGATTTTCTACAAGGGGTGCAACTGCTCCTAGACCCAACCATAACTGCTGCTTTACTCTGAGCTCAGTACTTTGTCCTGCACATTTCATTTTCTGTTTTAATAACTATTTGACCCTCGGCAAAGTTACCTTTCCATGAATAATTTGTACCTTAGACCAGATCAAATATAAGTACGACATTAGGGGAAATAATTCAGTAATGCCTCTGGGTCCCTAGATACTTTTATATCGAAATGTAAGGAATGCATAACTCCAGCCTCAGGGTGACATAATATAATGCTGCAACACAATGCTGACATCTTGGCCAACACTCCTTTCATGGTGTTACACAATCATATTAACAGTGCTCCTAAAACGGTTTCAGAATGCAGCTTTTCAGGAAGTTTAATTAAGGCAATTCCAGATGTCCTCACCTCCTTATCTCCTCTTGCATGAACTGTTCCTTGTGACTGCGGTTCTTCAGTTTGAGTCTGAGAAACTTCTAAGTAATTGGATGGGACAAATCCTCTCTGCCCATTGAGCTCCCCCTGTTCGTATTAAATGGAGAGGTTACAGTAAGGATATGTAGTGTGCATGCCAAAACATGATAAATACAGAAAAAATAAATATTTCCCTGTTTGCTGTCTGGCTAGGTCAATAAGTGCGCTATCCAACCCAGATAAGCATGTGTTCAATTTTGGATGTTGCACTTGCTTTTCTATTTTAAACATGCTGTCAAGCACCCACATATATGAGAATACAATATCTTGTGACCCTTACATCCAGCAAAGGAGTCTCCTAGAAACACACAGGCATGTGTGATGTGACATACAATTCATAACTGTCAATATCCTTAAAGAGGAACTTTACCCTCATCATTAAAATTACAACAAAGTCATATTTAGAAATGTTTAGTAATGTCAATCTACAAACAGATATTTAAAGAGAATCACAGGCTTTTTATTTTTTACATACCTTATTTTTTTTGTTCTCATGCTGACCTTTTTTTTTAACTAATGGCAGATTAATATACCGTAGCTCCCCTTACTTCCTAGAACTCTGGCACATATGACTAGGACATGTGACAATGCACATCATCTCAGGGGAAAAATGATTTTCCCTGATATCTCTCAAGATTTTGCAGTTTACAGATGAGATTTCCCAGCAATGAATTGCTGATGGTACCTTCCCAGGCTACATCACTAATCCCTAAAGCTGCCCATACACCTATTGATTTTAGTTTGGAAATCGTCCACAGATGGTCTTTCAAACGATAATTGATCAGTTGATGAGAACCCAAACGATTCTTTTTTTTACTGTACTTCTGGCCAAATTTTCTTGAAGGCTGAGGATGGAAATCTTTTTTCGACTCGAACGAAAAATCGATGGATTAGCTGTGTTTTCGTGTGGGAGAAAGAAAAAAAAAATCGCAACAAGAACACTGCATATGCACAAACTAAAATCCGTTTGGTCGATTGAGGAAATTCAGTGCGTTAGTATTGCTAACAAACGATTATCGAAATCAACATTGGTCTGTGCATGATGGGCTATTTTAGCTAGAATCGAACAAGGGTTCTTGGCAGCAACAAAAATTTCCGATCGAAAATCTATACATCAGCCAAGAGCCGACATGGTGGAGCTACAATTTTGGCACATATGAAAAGTTAATAAACATTTAATAAAAAGGTTCCAAGGTTGGGAATAGGATACACAATGTCTTTGTTGATGTATCAAGGCAGAACATCTACTAACATCCCTCATTCTGTTGTTAGAACTGACACTTCATACATGGGACCAATATCCCCTGCTGCACTTCACTAATATGCAAAAGGAATATTATTTCAGCTGTTGATATTTTATTGCAAAACAATACCCTATGTTCATACATTATGTTTCTGAATGTTATTGACATCACTCAAAATATAATGGCACAGAGACGCAGCTACTCTTTAAACACTAAATACACAAGAAAAATTACAGCACTAAACATGATACAGTCAGCACGCACATAAAAGAATCCATCTTCATCCATTGGTCCAAACACAGTTATCATGTTCCCAGCAGTGAAGCTCAACTCTGCCTGTTGGACAGTAAAAAGTAGCAAATAGATTATTTGTATTATTATAAATTATTTAAAAAACAAAACAAAAACAGCCCAGTACTGACAGGCACTGGAATCTTTCACAAAGTCATATGCTGGGTTGGATGTGGTTGAATGTGTGGAAGGGGAGGGGCAGTTGTCCCTGGTGATCTACTAATGGGTTATGGAAACCTTTTATCCATTTACTCACCGATAGTAAAAGTTAAAAGGGTGTTTCTTTTGCTAATGAACACAGTAGAGAGAGTAAGATCCCTTTAGTGTTTTACCGCTATCCAGTGCTCTGTCCCCCCTCCCCTCACTCTGGGCCCAGTCACATGAAAATATAGCATCTTTTCAGCACACCTGCATTCCAGCCCAATGCACTGTTGTGCACTGCCAAAAACCGCATGTATGATTTTTGGTCTCTTGTGGCATATGAGGCAGCCTATTTATAGAAATGCTTGCCTTATTGCAACAGGCGGAACATGCTAGTGTGTATGGGGCCTTACTTTCACAAGTGCACCAGTTTTACCAGACAGGAAATAAAAATCAACATTGAAACAGGCAATATAAAGCTGAGAGGAGTTCAAATCCTTGTCCTACTCTATCCAAAAGAAAAAAGATGTTTTGGGTGGCCATACTCTTTAAAGTAGGATATACACGGTTAGAATTTGGTATGAAAAGTAAATTTTGGAACATTCGTTCAAATATCAATTAGCACGGTGCAAATCAACATAGGAAAAATACAATGTTCCCGAAAATTTTCGAATAAAAACGAATTTCTAACAGTGAATGTGTTTTTTGTTCGGAAACTACATTCATTCCAAAATAAAAATGAAAATTAAACGAAATTTCAAATGACAAATCGGCAAGATTCTGATGCCAATATCGAACATTCTGCGATTTTTCATACAAACGTTCGTGCAAAAAACTATCCGTGTATACCCTACTTTAAACAGCCATGTTCCAATCCACTCGTTGTTCAAAGCAGTAGTCCTTACAAATTGAATGGAATAATAAGCCAATCTGAACATGCGAGCTGGATTGTGGGAATACTCGTTTACTCACATTTAGCTCAGTGAATTTGTAATCTAACCACTTTCACCCTTCCTTCCCCATTTCAGCTCAGTAAAGTCCTCATTTCCTCCTTTCAGTCAATTGAATCTTTTAGCCATTTCATTATAATTTCCTGTTCAGTATATCTTTCTCCTATTCTCTTAGTCCCCTGTATCATCGAATACTCCTAATTAGGGTTGTTCAGATACCAGTTCAGATATTTGGTATTTTCACTAGAACCACCAGGGTTGCAGCGGTTGAAATCATTGGTTACATAGTTACATAGTATTTGAGGTTGAATAAAGACATTAGTCCATCAAGTCCAACCTATTAGGATCTCATTCTAGGAGTACCTGTACCCCTGTATATTACGGTCCCTTAAGAAATCGTCCAAAAGTTTCTTGAAAAATTCCACATTCTTTGCTGAAATCACTGTCTGTGGCAGTGAGTTCCAGACCCTAACTGATCTTACTGTGAAGAACCCCCTTCGCCCCTTGTGCTGGAATTTTTTTTCCACCAATTTTAGGTGGTGGCCTCTAGTTTTTGTAATGGAGTTAATTTTAAACAGTTTATCGCTAATGTTGCTACCACCATTGAACATTTTGTACATGGAGATCATATCCCCCCTTAAACTCCTCACCTCCAATGTGAACATGTTTAAATTTAGTAGCCTTGTCTCGTAGCTCTGGTCCTCCATACCCCTAATTAGTTTGGTTGCCCTCCGCTGGACTTTTTCCAACTCAAGGACATCTTTTCTTAGTACTGGTGACCAGAACTGGACCGCGTACTCCAGATGAGGTCGAACCAATGATCTATAAAGTGGCAAAATTATAGACTTGTCCCTGCAATACATCCCCTTTTTAATACAGGACAAGACCCTGCTAGCTTTGTTTACAGCAGCCTGGCACTGCAAACTACCTTTCAGTTTGTGGTCTACAATGACCCCCAAATCCTTCTCCATTTCTGACTTCCCTAGCGGCATACCCATAATTGTATAACCCATTTGTCTGTATTGTTTTAGAGAAAAAGTGACACTAAACATCAGTAATTGGTATCTGTGAGTACTTGGAAAGGTATCAGTACTTGTACTAGAAAAAATGGTATCAGTGCATCTCCAATATATTTATATAACAAATCATACATTAAAACAGGGATGCAGAAATCCCATGAGCCTCGTAGCCAATGCTCCCTAAAAATCACAGCTGCCTCCTAACTTTTGAGGTTTCCTCTAGTCTAGTTTCGGAGCTGAAAAGTATCTGTACTTGTACCACGTACGGCACTTGGTATATGAACATCCCTACTCTTGATCCTTCTGTGTTTATAGTTCACTTATTCATCTTGAGTATTTTTGCATTAAAAGCTGATCTTACTAAATGTCTTATGTTATTTATTTTGCAATTCTAGTACACCATCTCCTATTCCAAAATTAATTTCTAACCAGTAATTTCCAGCTTTTGAAAACTAGGATGGTTGTTTTTCATGCATGAGTTTCATCACCAGACATGTTGGCTCACAAAATTGTGGTACATGTTATATACGAATGACATCCCAGAAAGCAAAAAAATAAATTTAACTCCAGCATCATCCTAAACTTAACCCTTGAAGAGTAACTGAACTGGCAAAGGACCAGTCACTAGTGTTGCCTGTGATCTCCCTCTAGCTGATCTTTCTCCATTACTGACTTACAATACCTTGGCTTGCTCTGTGTCTCTGTTTGTAGGTATCTACAAACAGAGACATCTTGGTAGAGGCAGAGATTTTGTTTTCATGTTTTAGAGTCTCCAGCAAGAATATTGAGCAGCACACTAATGGTATCACCAAATCTCACTCCAAATATCAGAAGACTAGTCAAAAACAGCTCAGACTGCATAAAGCTATGAGGATGTAGGCACAGGTAGATTTTCAGGGTACTGCTTAGACACAACAAACATTTCTGAATGTTCCCTATAACATAGCAAATTCTCACTTTTAAACTCCATTCCACTTTAACCTAAACCTAACCTCTGACAATGGGTCACATAGGGCACATTATATGTGACGTGCATTTGAATGATGAAATACCCAAATAAACATGTGGTCCATTGTCCTTTAACATTTTGAGAGTTTGCGTACTCTTCTCAAACACCAGTGCTGAGAAGGCTGTTTGGCACCTCTAGGGGTTTATGTGTATCTGACCGCTTAGCTATTCTTAAGTGCAAGCAGGAAATAAATGTGTTACATATACATTACTGTATATATAAATAACGACATAAGGTACCATTATTACTGCCATGCTCACATGCAGTCTTTGGTGAACTTTAAACCTAGAACCTTGCTTCCACCTTCACTTTCAACCCAATGTTGTCTTTTGCCAGGTTAATGTTCTGCATTACATCACAGCTGCCTGTTATTTCCTGAATGTCCTCTATCTGCCATGTTGTTTATCTCCCTTTCCCTTTCTTTACCTTACTCTCTTCCACAGTCTTGCATAGCTCCTCTCTAGCCAAGTATCTTGCGATATGGCCCAAAACATTTAGATTTTCTCTTCAATATTACTTCCAACAGATATGGTTTTGCTTCATCTCTAAGATACAATTTTGGATTCATATGTTGGAATTGAACTAAACCATCACAAATACACTATATTGCCAAAAGTATTGGGACACCTGCCTTTACATGCACATGAACTTTAATGGCATCCCAGTTTTAGTCCGTAGGGTTCAATATTGAGTTGTCGTTGGATAGGCAGGTGCGTGTAGCACGTTTTACCTAGGCTTCTCTGGTGTGGGGGCTACGCTCTCCAATGTTTCCAAGCGGTAAGTATTTTCTGCCAGTCCACTGGAGGATGTGATGGCGGCCGCCAGTCCGTAGGGTTCAATATTGAGTTGGCCCACCCTTTGCAGCTATAACAGCTTCCACTCTTCTGGGAAGGCTGTCCACAAGGTTTAGGAATGTGTCTATGGGAATGAGGTCAGGTACTGATGTTGGACGAGAAGGCCTGGCACGCAGTCTCCGCTCTAATTCATCCCAGCGGTGTTCTATCGGGTTGGTCAGGACTCTGTGCAGGCCAGTCAAGTTCCTCCAACCCAAACTCGCTCATCCAGGTCTTTATGGACCTTGCTTTGTGCACTGGTGTGCAGTCATGTTGGAACAGGAAGGGGCCATCCCCAAACTGTTCACACAAAATTGGGAGCATTAAATTGTCCAAAATGTCTTGGTATGCTGATGCCTTAAGAGTTCCCTTCACTGGAACAAAGGGGCCAAACCCAACCCCTGAAAAACAACCACACACCATAATCCCCCCTCCACCAAACTTTACACTTGGCACAATGCAGTCAGGCAAGTACCGTTCTCCTGGCAACCGCCAAACAAGTCCATAGGATTGCCAGACAGAGGCAGATTTCGTCAATCCAGAGAACACATCTCCACTTCTCTAGAGTCCAGTGGCGGCGTGCTTTACACCACTGCATTGGACGCTTTGCATTGCACTTGGTAATGTAAGGCTTGGATGCAGCTGCTCGGCCATGGAAACCCATTCCATGAAGCTCTCTACGCACTGTTGTTGTGCCAATCTGAAGGCCACATGAAGTTTGGAGGTCTGTAGCTATTCACTCTGCAGACAATGTGCGCTGATCGAGCTCTGTCATTTTACGTGGCCTACCGCTTCGTGGCTGAGTTGCTGTTGTTCCCAGTTGCTTCCAATTTGTTTTAATACCACTAACAGTTGACCGTGGAATATTTAGTAGCTGAGCTCCTGAGAGCGACCCATTATTTCACAAATGTTTGTAGAAGCAGTCTGCATGCCTAGGTGCTTGATTTTATACACCTGTGGCCATGAAGGTGATTGGAACACCTGAATCCAATGATTTGGAGGGGTGTCCCAATACTTTTGGCAATATTGTGTACTTTGAAACCCTTTGTCTGTATAGGTACTAGGCAGAGGAGATAAAACACATCCTTGGCATATGCCTCTTTCTACAGTTATATCATGCTTGCATTTGGTATCCATCTTCAGAAACCCTTGCTGAATGTTACAGATAGTGGCTTTGAGACAGACTTCCTTTTCCCATTCCCCCCTTTTCAGGAGTGTTTAATGAGGATGTCATGCTCAACTCGTTTAAATGCTTTGAGAAAGTTAATGAAGCATAGATGTTTTCTGTTGCTTGCTGATGTCATTTGTTCGTTGTGTTCTCGGTGTATTCATTATCTCAAGTTGTGGGACATTTCTCTTGGATATTCTACTTTCATATAGTTCTTCTGTGTATTCTTTCCATTTGCAGTGTATCCCACTCTCTGTGGTTAATACCATTTCATCTTCCATCTTTTCAACTCCATTTCCATTGTTAAATTTTGGCTTTGGTGCTATCTTCTTAAGTTCCATGTACAGATTTTCAGTTTCACGTATCTCTTCTAATTTGTTCCATCACTATCATCTATCATTGCTTTCTATCGATTTCTAAATTTAAAATTTCCTTATTACAGGTATTCATATAGCGCCATCAAGTTACACAGCGCTTTACATAATACACATTCACATCAGTCCCCACCCTCAAGGAGCTTAGAGTCTAAGGTCCCTATCACACATGGCCATTTTTTTTAGGCAGGAGGCAATTAACCTTCCAGCATGTCTTTGGAGTGTGGGAGGAAACCGGAGTACCGGTAGGAAAATCCACACAAGGAGAACACGCTTCTAGTCTGATTATTTCATCACATCGATCATGTATTTCTTTCTGTTTTGCTTGTTGACATTGTTTCGTATATATTTCTCTAATCTTACTTTGAGCTGTTTCTTGTTTCCTTTCACACATCAAAGCAAGGATTTGCTTGGTTAACACAAAAGGTGTTTATTTCTTCTCTTTTGGTCAGGCTTTGGAAGGACAGTGCATGCTGTGTATCTGAGTTTCCTAGCAATTTCCTGCCATGTTTTGTACTTAGTTAGTTCTTGTTTATGCATGGCTTCTTCATTTTTTTTTTTTTACTAGTCTCATAATTTAGCAACTCCTTGTGTTCCCTTGGGGTTTTATTTGTTCTGTTCAAGACAATTTTCTGTACAGGGTCTCCTTTTCATAGCTCCCCTAAAGGGACTTTGACTATTAGCATCCAGTTACTAAATGACAGGAATACCAGCCAAGTAAAAGTTTTCACGGGTACCAGGAACTCTGAGAATGTGTCTCCTGGGGATTTCCTATAATAGCACTGCACTGTATTTGGTATAGTAACTATTTTAATGAGTAATGTAATCGTTACTTTATTCATCATAATGGGTATTATACCAACTACTGTAAGTGGCAGTGTTGGTAGAGGGAACATAAGGAAGGTGTTGCCTCAGAATTTCCTGCACGAATTAAACTAATGCTTGGCTGGAATTCCTATTTTCTAAGGTTAAATTTAGGAATGGAGAGACTTTATTCCACCATAATCTGCAGGAGATAATGAACAGGAGACCTGGAGTGTGGATATTTGGAGTTTAGATATGAGGTTAAGTTAAGATTAAGGTATTTTTTTTACTAGTATTTACATACCAAAATGCACTAGTGAATAATGTTAGCAAATTAACCAGGATTAGGTGGGAACTATATAAATAAGCCCCTAACCTTGAAATGTATGTATAGGCAAACATTTCTTTTAGTTTTGGACAGATTTGGAAAGGCTCACCCCTCTATTTGTTCCGATGACCATTGACAATGAGACAGATGTGTGGTGACAACTCAATTTTTTTGTTTTCCTACATTCCACCTGTAACAGTAATATTACCTTTTGATCCTCCCAATAGATCCACTATTTTGCACTTCCTGTAATAGGGTGAAAACGTTGTTCATTCTAAGGTGAAATTGCAGAGCAGCATTGTCCCCTTTGGGGACAGGGTAGTCTTTGGTATACATGTAGGTTTAAATGTTTTTTTTTAAAAGATCAGAGCAACAGCATTACTACTCTAATACAGGAAGTGGTATAACTGATCTACTGGCAAGATCCATAAGCAATAAAACTTTGTTATGGGGGACTCAGAAGAACAAACACTGCTGTTGTAATGCAACCAATACACTGCATCAGATGTCATTTTTAATTTTACCCATAGTTGCACATTAAACTTTGGCACTTATTAAGAATGTGCTAAATTATCATCTTTTTTTTTTTAAACTGGTAAACACAGTTTGTTGGGCTCAGAACCAAACCTTGCTTTCACAAGTGTAGCTTTCTTCTGAAGTTACTGTGTATTATGCTGACAAAAGACAATACCACTGTAGCAACAACAACACTGCAGCAAATCATATATATTTTTATCAGATTATAGCAAATAATCCATACCTCCACATCCATATTCGGAGAACTTTCTCTTGGGTTATAATCAAACATAGCCACCATTTGTCTGGAGATACTTGAGTCAGATTTGCTAGTTTTCAAATGCTTATCTAAAAGATGAGAATCACAAGTATATCAGTCAGGTATACCAATATGCGAAGACAAGTTTACAAAAATAAAATGTAAATGTTTATACATTTATATAAGCAGAAATTTACTACAAGACAAATTGTAATACGTTACAGAAGTTCTACTTGCCTGTTACATTATTTTCTGCTGACGCAGAAGTTTGTTGTGCTGTAAAACATAAAACAAAAACAAACAGAACCCTCAAATTTACTGATGTACTTAAATTCTGAAACCACTGTGCTTTGGAAAATGTAGATTTAAGTGGCACTAGCAACTTCCTGCTATAGATTTGCCTATTACATAGCAAAGAGCAATAGCAACAGCAACATTCCCATTAAATGTACAGAAAAGATGTTTTACCAAATGTAATATGCCGACTATATTCTTTAGATTACAGATTCATGAATATTGGCTATGCTCAGGGGCAAAGAGCATACCATGTTGGCCGAGAAAGTGACCTTTCAAACCCCAAAAGGCATATTCAACAGACTACTTGGCAATTTTTCCTAACACCCTCTTTGTACTCCCTTGTTGGGGAGGCCAAACGTTAAACACCTCAATGCTCAAGTGCTTACTGAAGCATTTGCTTTGTGGAACTAAACAAAATGCAGCCTGCTGCTGGCACAAATGTTGCATCCCTTGCATCCCTACAGCCTACTGTTTATACCTGCTGCTACCTGGGACAATGTTGCCAAGGCCAAATCACAAAATGTAGAGATAGGTGGCAGCTGCATACATGCTTTGGTACACACAAACTATACCTCCTAAATTTCTGAGACGGGAAAAAGGGACATATTATAGCATGAAGTATGTAGGCAAAGCAAAGATCCCTGCTATTTCCCCAGTAACGTGGGCCATGAGGAATTATGCACAATAAATAACTTGTTACTTCATAAATTGTTTTTTTTCTTCAATCACTTTTATTTTAGTTTTAAAAATTGAATAATTTAAAAGGTTAGATAAAAGGTTACACTTTTGATGGTTAAAGGAGAACTATGGGGTAAGTGTTTTTCCCCATAGTTCTCTTAAGGGTCACGGGAGGACATATACTAGTGTCCTCCCGTGACCCAAAGCTCAGTATATATAGCGAGCTACAGCTGAGACCGCCGCAGCCGGGACGGATCCCGACATTACTGTCAAGATCCACCCAGCTGCGTGAGTGACAGCTGGCTCTGCCTATCTAGAGGCAGAGCCAGCTGTACCCACACCCTCCCCGTCCGTTCCGCCAGTCAGGGCTGGAGGATCAGAGAGGGGAGGAATCCCTGCAGGGAGCCGTGAGTGACAGTCACGGCTCTTTGCAGGGACATGATCGAGAAGTGAGCGAGCGACGGTATGTGTTCGCTCACTTCCCGATCTATTAAGCCAACGTGTGACAGTTTCATTGTCACAGGTCGGCTCGAACTATGAGGTTGAGTGAAAGTCACTCACCTCATAGTTCTCCTTTAAAAATTAAATTTTCATAGCAATCTGTACCTCAGACCAAAAAGAGGGATGGCCGAGGAAGAAAGAGGGTCCTGAGAAATTTGGTTCAAAAGGAGGAACAGTCCCTCCAAATGGGGAAAAGTTGGGAGCTATGCACAAACTAATATGAAAAAAATTGTAGCCGCCGGTGATGCCGACATTCTTCTGGCAAACAGCAGTACCTGGCTAGAAAAATCCAACCTGGCTGGTTGATTCTCCCCCAGATACTGGTTGGCCAAGAAGTATTTTCACAGAGTGTCCATAGATACATGCGATCTTCTTCAATAAAGAGTTCTCCATGGTGTTGCCAACTTTGTAGCAGAGATCTGAAGCAGGAGATCTGTAGCTGGCTACGCAGGTGTTATAGTAACTGCATAGGCAGCTCTAAATGCGGCAAAATGTTAGTCACTCAGTGACAAAGCTACAAATCAATGTAAACAATGTAACACTGACCTTTATTGACTGTAACCCAATGTTTCTTAGCAACAAAATCAGCTTTTCTGTAGCTGCTACTAAAATCACTTTTTCCTTAATATAATTTGCCATGAAAGAAACATGGAGGCTACCAATGCTCATCTCTCTATCTGCAGCTTGTCTGGCTGTGATGGTAACCATCTTGCATCAATACTTTGAGATTCTTACACTGAAAAAGCAGGAACTTAAGGATATCTGACTTCAATCCTAATGGGCATGCTTGTTCCAGGTCAATGATTCAAAACTAATGATACCATAGGGTTAGTATAATGGCCAGGCATCTGGAATTTTCTGAAGGAAGTTGGCAGTGGCAGCCCCCACATTCAATGCAACACACTGTTATGATAGACATGTGCATGTCCAAAAATGTTGTTTTTTTTTTGGGAATTTGGATCTATACAAATCTATTTGGATGGAGTTTACTATGTTAAATGTGAAAAAAAGCAGCGTGGGGTTCCCCTCCAAATTCATAATACTTTTTAGGTTTGGTAGGAATTTTAGGGGGGACTCCATGCCCCAAAAGAAAAATAGGTGGGTCCCCCAAAAATCCCTTACCAGACCTTTAATCCAAGCAGCAGCCTATCAGAGCATCAACATGGGGACAAGGCAGTTTGCTAGGGGCCCCCCCCCTCATTGAGGGCATGTGGCCTGTTATGTTGCAGGAGGGAGGGGAGCAGGTTTGCACTCCCTTTCCTGACAGACACAATTTGAATGCATTTGAATTATCATTATTACAATTTTTGATACATTTGAATTTGTTATTTCTTTCATTCAGAAATTTGGATGCATCCTAATGTCTGAAATTGCCAACATTCGGATGAGAATGAATGCACATGTCTAATAGTTGGCATTATTTAAGGTAGTTTAGGAAATTAAGCGCAGGTCAAAAAAAAGGATATCTGTCAAGTTGCAGGCAGAAATAATGCCGAAAATACAAACTAGACTCCAAATGGTTCCAATTTGCATGACTTCTTAATACATTGATTTAGAGTACCATGAGAGCCTTCAAAGTTGGGTGCCTGGTAGTGTGAAAAATCTTCTTTAACCTGATTGAACACTAAGGCTGGGCACACACCTTACGATTATCGCATGATTATTCCCGTACGACCCTTTTAAAATCGTACGGCAAGAGGGCGACCGCGCTACAATGCTGCGTTATTTTTCGTACGATCGTCGTACGACCAGCCGGTGTAGTCGTACGATCATGGTCGCACAACGGAAATTATCTCATGTTCCCGCAGCCAAGGATGCGTTCATTGGACATCAATTGAGATAAAAGCTAAGGACTTCAGAGCAACCATCCCCCGCACTTGTTTGTTGCAAGCAAATGATGGATCACGATATGCCAGAAATGCTTATCATCATGGTTGGTGTTGCTGCCATACGTACTCATCGTCAACGCAGGCCAATTCCAAGGCGCATTTGGGTGAAGAATTGGCTGCGTATGCGTGACCGCTACTCCCATGTTGCTCTTCTCCAGGAATTGCAAGAGAACAATCCTGAGGACTTCAGGAACTACCTCAGGATGTCTGATGATGCCTACAGCACCCTGTTGACACTGGTGTCCCCTCACCTTGTGAAGGCAGATAGAGTGCTGGCAAAGCAATTCCCCCCCATCAGAGGCTCATTGCTACCCTACGCTACCTTGCCACAGGACGTAGTTTTGAGGACCTCAAGTTCACCACCGGAATTTCCCCACAGGCCCTGGGTTTGATCATACCAGAAACCTGTGCGGCAATAATCAAAGTTCTACAAGACGAGTATATGAAGGTAAGTTTATTTGTCATATTGAAATGTCAAACATATGTATCATTTACCTCCAACAAAATAAATAAGACATGTCTTCTGTCAAAATATATAT